GGCCCTGGCTCTGCTCCTAAACACACTGCAGCTGCACAGTGAAACATCCAAGTTAGAGATAATACTACTGCAAGGAAAATGAAGCAGTGGAAGGGCTTGCCTGGCAAAGGTGTGGTGTCCTCACCAATGGAGATTTTAAAAACAAGTCGGATGTACTCCATACCGATATAGCTATATGGCTAAGTGTATGATGTATGTTGCAATGATTTCACTCCCATGTGCCACACACAGCAGTCAGGCTGTTTCATGCAGGCAGGAATGACAAATTGCTGCTGTTGTCTCTGCGTAAGATGCATCCCCTATTTCACAGTTCCTGCAAATCTCGACACAACAGCTCCGTTTTTTTGGACATTCTGGCATCATTAAAACAGCTTAAACATCTCTAAAGCTACAGCATTGGATAACTTGCAGGGAAGGATGGTAAGTAATCTCCTGAAAAGTCCTCTCAATTATTATTAATGGCTTTTAACAATTCTTGGAACAATGGGGAAATCCTTGAGGAATAAGAAAAGAAAAAAAAACCCACAACCCCCAAACCAAGAAGATATTCTCTCTCCTCTTCCAAGAAAACAAAAATGACACAAAACTCTAGTGTTGTGCCAGTATTTAAAAAATGACAAGCTGCGTGGTCAGTGTAAGTACAGCTTCTCAGTCTGAAATCTCCCAGGCAAACCAACAGAACAGTTGACATTAAAGGATACCATAAGTAAAACCAACCAACATGGTTTCACAGAGAACAGTTTTCTGTAAACATTATTTTTTAATTAATTACAAGTTCTGGTTGGTAAAAGTAGCTATTGACATAGTAAATTTCTGTAAGGCATTGTTCTTGGCCCCACATGTTATACAAATATTGGTGTAGCACATTAAATGCTAGTTAGTAAACAACTGTAAATAAGGATTTGTCCTAGAGAATCCCAGAGTCTGCAACTATTTGGCATCTTTATCAAGAATGTTAATGAAATTATAAACCAATTGCAAAGAAAATCTGCAGATTAAAAAAGCCGATGACAAATGAAAGCAATGAAAAGACTGATTATACAACAAAGTTTTCTGGAAAAGTTGCTCCACAAAAAATACAGTTATTAAGGTCTCTGCTAGAGTAATTTTGTGAAATATATAATAATGACAGATGAGTTCATCATGTGCTGTCTGGCCTTAAACCCTGTTAACCTGAACTTCTAGAAACAAAGGAAATGGGCCCTCAGGCACATTTTCAGAACAATTGAAAAATGCGCTTAAGAGGGTAAATCACAAACTGAATGCAAACAGTGTAATGAAGCAGTTGAGGAAAAAAAGAGGTAGCTAAGAGCAGAGCAACATTATCATTGCATTCTACATAAACCAGACTATTACAGAATACCACAATTTGTTCCTGGTTTGCATCTCTGGACTTCAAAAGCCAAAAATACACCGATCAATATATTAAATGTCAGCAAAGAAAAACAAAAAAAAAAAGAACACACTGTTTTGACTGAGACTAGCAGGTCTATTTAGCTTATATAGCAAATTATGTGTGGAGTTAATTATGACTACAAATATGCGGGAAGAAATTTCTGATACCATAAAGATACTTAAGTTACCAGGATTGAGCAATATGAGATACAGAGGCTGAAATGAAGTTCAAATGAGAAGACACATCATTTTTAGTGTAATTAATCACTAGAACAAGTATCGAGTGACTAGCTGGTCTCTTTTATCGCTCCCCCCCTCCAAAAAAACCCTGGATCTCTTTCTAAATATTTGCTCAAATAGAATTTATAGGAGCAAGGCCAAGTTTGCTGGGGCAATGAGTGGTGTCCGTCAAGCGTCCATGTTGGCACCAATACTATTTAATATCTTCATCAATGACGTAGACAGGGGAATTGAGTGCAGGTATGCATCTGACACCAAGCTGCATAGTGCAGTTGATTCACTTAAGGGAAGGGATGCCATCTGGAAGGACCCTGACAGGCTTGAGGAACGGGCACATGTGAAACTCATGAAGTTCAACAAAGCCAAGTGCAAGGTCCTGCACATGGGTCAGACCAATCCCCGATATCAATACAGACTGGGGAATTAAAGGACTGAGAACAGCCCTGCAGAGAAGGACTTGGGGATAACAAAAACTTGGACATGAATTGGCAGCCCAGAAAGGCAATCATATCCTGGGCAGCATCAAAAGAAGCATGGCCAGCAGGTCGAGGGAGTTGATTCTCCCCCTCTACTCCACTCTCGTGAGACCCCGCCTGGAGCACTGCGTGCAGCTCTGGGGCCTGTGGTACAAGACAGACATGGACCTGTTGGAGAGGGTCCAGAGGAGGGCCACGAAAATGATCAGAGGAGTGGAATGGTTCTCCTGTGAAGAAAGGCTGAGAGAGTTGGGGTTGTTCAGCCTGGAGAAGAGAATGCTTTGGGGAGACCTTATTGCAGCCTTTCAGTATATAAACGGGCTTATAAGAATGATGGAGAGAGACTTTACCAAAGCCTGCAGTGACAGGACAAGGGGTAATGGTTTTAAACTGAAATTGGAAGTGTTCAAGGTCAGGCTGGACAGGACTTTGAGAAACCTGATCTAGTGAAAGATGTCCCTGCCTGTGGCAAGGGAGCTGGACTAGATGGTCTTTAAAGGTTCCTTCCAACCCCAACCATTCTATGATTCTATAGGGTAGAATTTTGACCTGGATTTGCAAAATGTTAGGCTAACTGAAGTCTTCACAATGGATCAAACAGTAAATCTTAGCACGGTAGGTAATTAGCTGGTTTTATATGTTATTTATAGCCCCGGATACACATGATGTGAATTCCTCAATTAAAACACCTTCCTTGAGGCTAAATTTTCCCATGCCCTTAGAGCAGTAGAGCATTGCTGCAGTCAGACTGGGTAGCCTGCCTTAGTCCATCCACAGCAGGATGCAAGTGCTCCCGAACAGATCACGCTCCTCAAAAGCAGTGGACTGTGCTGGTGCAGCAGTGTCACCACCTCTTACCAGCTTGAGCTAATCCAGCCAAAGGTCTGCTGTAACACTGATGGAGCATGAATAGGCTGTTTGATAACGATTTTTTTCCACATGCCATATTATGTGGGGGAATATGTTGTTGATGTAACTCCACAAGATCCAGGTGGTCACGAAGTATCCATGTCAAGAAAGCAGGTCTGGTTAGTAACTCATAAATGACAGTAAACAGGACTCTAGACAGAAATCCAAAGAAAAACCTCCTTTAATTCATGGGTTTATCATGTTGCCCATCTATTGGGTGGGAAGGTAGTAAACACGTGTGGTCAAAGTACAGCTGTGTAGCGTGGAGTACTGCAGAGAAATGGTGCAGACAACTGAACAGCACCAGAGCATGCAGGACAACCAAGTGGGCAGGCTGGCGTGTGTTGTGTAAGTAGGGATGGTACCAAGACCGCTACACACCAAACAGACAAGAAACCACATTCTCGCACTGGTGTCATTTTATTTTGTCGTCTTCTGATCTTGCCCCTCTTACTGCAAACCTTATACACCCTGCACAGAAGTCCACATATTTATACTTTCAGTGCAGCACTGCAACCACAGTGACAGCTGGTTCCAAAAGGCAGTGTAACTACTGCATGTAAATCACAATGGAGCACTGCATGCTGTCTCACTACCATACAGGTGTTAATCCCCATGAGAGACAGACCATGCTCAGCTGGGCTCTGCTTTGCTTATTATATGGGTGAGGCAGTTCTTGAGAACACCCTGGCCATACAGCACTTCCCACTGCCAGGGCCAATGTGATTATTCTGGTAATAACACATACGTATAAACCTGCCTGTTCACCAGGCACTGCAATGGCTTCCCTGTGAATTTCAGCATCAGCAATTTTGGTAGACAGTGAAAATTCATGGGAAGGTAACATGGAGCCAACTGCCTACTTTCTTGCCCGTGAAACTGCAAGGAAAAGGTCAAATTTTGCAACTTCCTGGTACAGTGGGTCTTTGATAACAGAAATTCTGGAGAACCCTTTCTCTGAAAGACAGAGTAAGACTGCCTGTGCTGCTGCTTCCTACTAGCTTCTATGACATCTGCTGCATTTATGGAGCACAGGAAGATACTCCCAATGATCCAGAGTTCATGCCAACACATGACTTAAAATAACGAACCCTCTTCTTTTAATCTTTTCCATGCAGGGAAGCCACTGCTAATATATCTCATTCACACAAAGGAAGCAGTATTGAAAAGAAACAGGTGATACAAGACAACGAAGATGGCATCTACAGTGCAGAAAAAAAGGACACTATGGGACCGTGGGCATGACAAAGAAAAACACACTGGCAAGGCAGTTCAATGGAACCTGGGTTTCAGCATTAGCAAGACTGCTGTTGTAGGTACGCACTGTCTTGCATTAAGTTTGTTTCCCAGGTGAGTCTGAAACAAGCAGTCTTCAGATGGCCCACGAAGGCCATCTTATTACATTAGTTACTGGGGGTCTCCAAAAGGCCAGTGAATCTCCAAAAGGCTGGAGAGTACTTACTCCTTACTGGACTGGAAGACCCTCTACATACATTCAATGCCCAGTGCTAGAGAATATAGACGCTGCGGGAATATTGGGTTCCTGACGAGGGTAATAATGATGTCCCATCACTTCCAAGCAGACCAGAGCTCGTGTGCTACTGTCTAGTGCTGAGCCTAAACATCACTGTATGAAGTAGAGACAGTGCCTTGTGCAACAGACTGGAGCACACGCTAGGAAGGTATTTGCTCTTCTGTGGCAGCCTTGCTGATGACAGGACAGTTACAGGGCGAGCTAAAGCCTCTGTATGCTGCACAGCGCTGCTTAGTCTCTGTGCATACTGTGCAAGAAAGGATTCCCCCCTTAAAGAGACCTAAACACTGTGCTAGTCAGTCCCTTATAGGGAGAACTACTAAAAAAGAACCCTGATCTCACCCATCAGAGGATGACAAAACAGATAGCTGCTGTACTGGAAGCCACTAAACAAGCAACTAATGTGACCCAAACTGAGACTGTAATCAGAGCAGGAACTACACTGGGTACACTGCTAGTGCCACTGTCCAAGGGAACTACACCAGGAGAGGCAGCCTCTGTACCACAGCTTTGGTCTGAAGTCTCTCACAACTGACCAGAGGCAACAGTTTCAAAATCAAGATCACCGAGTAGAATGGAGTCACAGTCCCAAAGACATTCAGTGGCTTATATTAGTGCTGTGGGTTATGAGCTGGACAGAAGTGGGGCTTGTAACTGAAAAGGTTTAGGATTACTCCTCTTCTTCTAGGGGTTTACTTCCGGCCTCGCTTGCGGCTGGTTTTTGGAAATTCGGCTCTCTGTGCAACTTGGGGCTCCCCCTCCTCACTACTCACACTCTCATTGTCCACCCGCCGTGGACGACCTCTCTTACTTCTCCTCATTTTTTCAGCTCCAGCAGTGGGGAGCTTCTTGGCAGCCAGGGTCCCAGTTCTCTTCTTTTTGCCCCGGGTCAAAGGACGTTTCTTCCGTTGCTTCCTCTGCTCTTCTCTTTGGCGGATTTTCATTAGCTTCTCAAAGCTTTTGGTGGTAGTTGTGTTCACATCAAACCAGTCCTGGAGGGTTTAGAAGGCAACAGGTTGGTAATGATGGTGGAAATACCATATAAAGCCCATCACGGCTTATAATAAAGCTGCCCTGTGGGACAAGGGTTTCCTGACATGTGAGATCTGGAAAGGCAGCTGCCTAACAAAGCTCTGTTCTTCGATGTTCCTCCTCAGGAACTCTGTCACTCTGCCTCAGAGGACGCAGATTTGATTTGGCAATTGCCTGGCTAAAGGCATGGGAAATGCTGAACTGAGCAGCAGCAGCCTGGGACAAGACACGCGACACGACACAATGCTTGCTCCCCAGACCAACGCATAAGACCAGCTATGTTTAAGCAAATCAAAGGCCACTTGAGTCTGGGACCATGTTCCCAGCAGTGAGCAAGGAAAAAATAAAACAGGGTAAGCATCCAGCATTTCCTTCCGAAGACATCCTTCCCACCTCCAACAACCTGGGGTTTGAGGACTTCCATTCTGCCTGCCTTACCTCAGCATGCACAGAGTTGATGTGATACTTGACCCCGCTCTCTGAAATGAACTCCTTCTCACACAGGAGACACTTGTATTTACCAGCCACAAAGTCTCCCTGGCACCAAAACAAAAAAATCCATCACCAATTGCTGCCTAGAAGGCTGATACACCTATATTTGTATTTGAATCTTGCTCAGATATAACTCAGCAGTAAGAAGTAGAAACTCTTATTCATACCAGACAATGCTTTAGCTACAAGAGCACTGACATTATCGACTAGTTATGCCCACAAAGCAGAGGAACTGCTCTGTGAGATGTTACAAGGTCTCCAGCACTGCACCTTGAACAAATGCTCTTGTAGCTGTGAATCTACAGGTAGGACTGCAGTTTCACTACAATGCATGCCATTAAGATGCTTCCTCCTTGCCTCAAGCAGTGTTTGCAATGGCAACTCCATTAGCACACAGGGAAGCACTCAAACTGTGAGGAACTCAGATTAGCAGATGGCAGGACAAGAGCTTGAATAAGGAGATATCTGAGGGACAGGGACAGTCAGGCTATTGGTATAAAAGATAGTGAGTACAGGAAGGCTACCAACCAAGGTACATGTGCCGAGGTGAGATTTGAGTCCTGAGACGCTGCCATATACAGATTCACAACCCTGAAACAGTAAAAAAAGTGCTTGTCAGCAAAACTCTAGCAAGAAATCACTTCTTCCTGCACAAGAAAGTCTGTTTCTCTGGAAGACAATTCCAAAAGGGATAAGAGAGGTAGAGAGAAGGAGATACCGAGTCCTACAAAGCCAGAAAGCTTCTGGTAAAAAGACTGTTAAGAGAGACTTAAGCTTCAGTACGTTAAATATTTCTAGCTTCTGAGCACATTTAGACATAATAAAGAGACTCCTGTCACAGTTACCTTCACCCTCTGTCAAACGCCTGAGTGAAATGATAGAGTTTACATTTGCCTGAAGTGCAGCAGAGATTAATTTCAAACAAAACACAGGGGCAAGTGCAAGATGCTTCAATCTCTCTTGCCCTGCTTGTGTATCTAGTGGCACAGAGCAGAAGTACTGCATCCAACATCAATGGTCTCCGTTAAAGGGCAGCTTTACAGGCTTACCCCATGTGGAGCTTTAGGCATCAGTCTCGGGATACTAGATCATGCTCAGCCGACAGCCCAGACACTGAAACAGGAGGTAGGTCCAAGACATGCTTCTGGGTTACTCATCGGTGAAATAGGACAGCTGCTTTTTGGAGACAGCTCCATATACAACATTATGTTGCAATTCTTATACTTGGAAATGATGCAAGCCTGAAAACTGGGGAGACAGTGCTGGTGGAGGGGTAGGGCAGGGGGAAGGCATTGTCTCTACACCAAACCCAGACGGAAGCCACCACTGACCCTTGGCTATCCAGCAGCGTGTGTCACGTGCATCACACCTACCATAGTTTCCACCAATGGGGTCATTTCTTCTCACTGGATCTGACTGGTGACTGCTGCGTGGGATTGTAAGAAACTAAGTGCACATGCATAAGCATCCCTAGACGAGGATGACAGTGCCATGCATGAGTCTTCTGTAGCCCATTTCCAACTTTCAAAAGAAAACTTAAGTCCTGTGCCAGACAAAGTCCCTCTACTCTTACACTTCCATCTCTACTCCTCCCTTCTTCTACAATTAGATTTAGTACACCTGCTAGACAGGCAGGGGCCTGTCATTTTTCCACTGCTCAAACCTCCAAATGGACCAGCTCCCAGCTGGATGTGAAAGCTGTACTAGTCTGACACCAAGTTACTGGCTCTGAAGTGGACAAACACATCCCCAGAGGGATCATCCCTAGGGCAACAGTCCAAACAGGGTCTTGATTACACTAACCAATCATACTGAGGTGGAGCAGAATTTGTCTCCCAGAGAGAGACAAACTGCAGTTTCAAGGTTGTGGAAAGCTGTTGGCTCATACAGACCTGCAATCTGACCCCTTTGAGGCTTCAGAAACACTTAAAGATTACCTGATTTGGGCAGTGGACTCTTCGGTACATCTTTATCTCTGTTTTCCATTTGCACAGCACATCTTGACTAAATGTGGGCAGTCCAGGACGAGTATATTTCAGCTGAGATAGAGAGACGGAATTGGAAGCTGGAAGCAATGTTGGTTACACATAATGCCAAGTATGTCCCTTTCTCTCCCAGGTTGTGAGACAGAAGTGCTATTTCTTCTCCTACTCTAACAGCCAAACTCTCAATAACCAGTCTTTTCCCGTCTCACTGACTCTCTACAAACATAACTGAATCTGGACAGCCCCCACCCCCACCCCCAATCCAAAACTTCCCATAACTTTGACTACAACAATTCCTCTAAATGTACTTACCCCATTAAAATAATAAATCATCCGTTTCCCTTGGGTTTCCCTTTCAGCCTAAAAGATGCTCCTGGAAACTCTGAAGCCTGAAAAACTATGAAATATCACTGCATAGCAGCAGTGATCTGCAGCCTATGACTTGTGAGCAACATACTGCCTTTAACTGCCTTTGTTACTAGTGCCCACTGAAAATTACAGCAATAGGACTTGAAAGTCATTATAGCCTGCCTGGATAAAATACTTATACCACCGCAATTGCTACTGTAGCAATACTATAATCTAAGACCAGAGAGAGCAAAACCTGATCCCTCCCACAAGATATCACTTCTTCAATATTGCTTTCCATGGGCCACTAAACACTGGCAACGCTGCATAGATGCTAGTTCAAGACTCATCTGATATGAAGAAAGACTCAAACTCTACATAGCATTTTTAAGACCTTGTACCTTCCGGTCATCTGGAATCAAGTCCTGCAGGACTTTTCTCTTGGGCCACTCTTTGGCCAGCTCTTCTCCAGCTAGCTCATGGAGATAGTAGATTGCCACCTTTGCAGATCTCCTCTGAACTCTGCCTGTGTTACTTGACTCCCGTTTCATTTCCTTCAGGCTCTCTGTTCTTCTATCCTCATGGAGGAAAGTGACCTGCAATGAAAGCCAAAAAAGGTAAGCCTCCTTCACTAGTTCCCATTTCAGTTACACTAAATGCTGTGAATAAATATTTTGCCAAATCTCTCACAAAAATGTTGCTGCAGCTGTGGTTCACTGTCACAGACATAGGACAGTCGTGCATCCCACTAGTGACACAGACCCCCAGATCTACTCGGGGGGTCACAGCAGTAAGGCTTGAGCAGAGAGTTTCATGCAGCCACTGGTCTTGAAAGGATATCACATCATTCGCTGTAAAACCCTCATGGACAACAAACATGGTACTGCCTGTTCTGCTCCAATGTTCGTTCTTTTAAGAGCAAAGAAAAGCATCTCACAAGTTATACATGTTAGCATCATTCTTCCATGGAGCAAAAGTCAGGTTGGGGAAAGTTTACTGCTGCCATGGTGATTTACTATTAAAAACTTCATCCTAGTCACAGAACAGCAACAGCTGCAGCTAGAAGGAAAGTATCAAAGACAGAATACTCCAGAGAGACAGAAAAATGCAAAGATTACTCTAATTACCCACCCAAGTAGCAGACAAAAGCCTTCATGTGTCTTAAGTCTGAATGACTGAAGTACCACCACACTATCCTGATAACTATGGCAATTTGCACTTACCAGCCCATGCTTAGATCGCAGATGGTAGACAAGTCCTGCCTTTGATTTGTATGCTTTTCCACAGTGATGGCACTTCATAGCCATTTTCTCCAGCTCAGAAGCAGCCTTCCCACATTTTTTAACATGATATAGGTATCCATTTATGCTAGTGAAGCTGCCTGTGCAGCCCTGTCAATGCAGAAGAAAAACGCATGGAAGAAATATACTCTCCAAGTGATCACAAGACCACTGTGCATAGAATCCACAGTTTGCTGACCAAAGTACTACCACTTTTCCTGCCAGACCAAAGACAATCAGGTAGTAAACTTTAACGTTAGTCTATTCAGATAAAATTGGAAAAAACAAATCTGGGACAAAGAATTGGCTGCAACTGGGCGAAACTGTTTCTTAGAACTTCTTTGTAGGCAGTGGGCAACAGAAAATTTCAATATATGGAATGAAGAAACAAGGTGTTAAATGAGGATGCACAAAATGGTAAGATTTTCAGATACAAATGGAGGAGTTGGGCAGAAAAAGAGGAAAATTTTATACTTGGTTGGCTGGTCAAACTATCTAGAACGTAGCAATATTAGGGTGATGGTAAATAAAACTTTCAGCTATTCCTAGAAGACAGCTATTGTCTCATGCCGCAGCGGAGGACAACAAAAACTCCAGTGGTTCCTGTGGACGTCATTTACTAGAATATCTCCTAACCCTGAATCCAGTGATCAACTTGACACTGAGCTTGGAAACAGGACAAATCAAACATGCATCAGCAAGTTTTTAATGTTCTTAGATGTATCCATCTGCCCTCCATCCCCTTCTCTAGCTGTGGCCAATATCAATATTTTCAAAAACCACAGACAAGCGCACACAGTTAATTATGCATAAAAACCTCTTCCCAGCTGTCACAACTAAGGAAAGAGCAGAAGTACACATTAATAAAATACTTCTGGTGCGCACAAGAAACAATCCAGTGTCCTCTCGATCCCCCTTGAAGACACCAACACATCAAATACTCAGAGAGCTCTAGCTGACCCTGCTTGAGCACAGGGGTTCTGAAGATGACTTCAGAAGTTCCCTTCCAGCCTTAACAATTGGTCAATTCTGTGAACAGTTTATAATACCATTGCAAGGTAAAATGGTTATCCCTGACATCTTCCACTGAATGCATTTATAAAGTCACACCTTTGCTGAATCTACATGTATACATCTAGTTTAAAGAAGCCATTTAAAAAACCAAAAACTGTAATCAGAACTAAAAACTCAATTTTAATCACCCTAGTTATCCTCTCTAAAAGACTTCGAATGGGGATCAGACAGTAACCGAAGGTGAACTCCCTTCTAGTGTAAGCAAGAGAATGTCACCTAACAGTCATGTGTGAAGCCCTAAAACTTCTAGTTGAGCTAGTTAGTGTTCACCAGACTCCTACTTTGTTTAGTCATGAGGTTCTAACCAAGTATCAGTCATTCCAAAATTCATTCTCTATGCTTAGTGCTTCACAAGCGTTTAGAGGAAATTCTCCAGGTATCCTGCTGCTTTCCTGGTAACACAGCATCCTACCAAAGCCCCTCAAGAGACTACTAGACTTGAAGGGGAAGGGGATAACATCAGGCTCACCCGTGACAAGCCATGGGACGACACGCCAAGGTTTCAGGGACGGGGTGCTAGCAAGGGCCCTCAGCCTGTTGCTCTGAGACATGTTGGGTACACTGGAGCACATTTGAAGTCTTACAGAGATGAGCCAGGGGGTCCTGAAGTAATAGAAGCCAACAGGGAAACACCAGTGAAATACCTCAAAGGAATTATAAGGTGTGTTCCTCTAAAAAGGTGACATGGCTGACAGCCCAGCTGAAGTGCCTCTACACCAATGCACACAGCATGGGTAACAAACAGGAGTTGGAAGCCACCATGACGCTAGAAAGCTACAACCTAGTTGCCATTACTGACACTTGGTGGGATGAACCCCATGACTGGAGCACGGCTATCGATGCCTACAAACTGTTCAGAAGGGACAGGCGAAGAAGGAGGGGTGGAGGGGTTGCCCTCACTGTCAAGAAATGGATAGATTGTGAAGAGCTATCTCTGAAGAATAGCCACAAGCAGGTTGAAAACTTACGGGTAAGAATTAGAGACCGAGGCAACAAAGGGAACTTTGTGGTTGGTGTTTACTGTGGGCCGCCTGATCAGGGGAAACCTACTGATGAAGCCGCCTTACTCCAGATATAGGAGACATCGCACTTGCAGGCTCTCATCCTGCTGGGGGACCTCAACCACCCTGACATCTGCTGCAAAAGTAGCACGGTGAGCTGTAGGCAATCCAGGAAACTCCTGGAGTGCATCGAGGACAACTTCTTAAGCCAGGTAATAGACAGCCCCACCAGAGAGGACGCGTTACTGGACCTGTTGGTCACCAACGCAAGCGAGCTAGTAAGAGACATCGCGACTGGAGGCAGCCTGGGCTGCAGTGATCATGCACTGGTAGAGCTCGCAGTCCTGAGGCATATGGGACAGGCAAGGAGTACAGTCAGGACCCTGAATTTTAAGAAAGCAAATCTGCAGCTGTTCAAGGAATTAGTCAATAGGACCCCCTGGGAAGCTGCCCTCAGGGACAACGGAATAGAACAGAGTTGGCAGGTCTTTAAGGATGCTTTCCACAAAGTGCAAGAGCTCCTGATCCCTATGTGTAAGAAGTCAGGAAAGGGAGGCAAAAGACTGGCATGGCTGAGTTGAGACCTGCTGGTCACACTAAAGGGCAAGAAGAGAATGCATAGGCAGTGGAAGCAGGGACAGATATCCTGGGAAGAGTGTAGGGATGCTGCCCGGTTGTGTAGGGATGGGGTCAGGAAGGACAAGGTGTGTCTGGAGCTGAACTTGGCAAGGGACACAAAGAATAATAAGGAATAATAAGAAGGGCTACTATAGCTATGTCAGCCAGAAAAGGAAGGTCAAATAAAGTGTATGCCCCTGATGAACACGACTGGCAAACTGGTAACAACAAACAAGAAGGCTGAGGTACTCAACAACTTCTTTGCCTCAGTCTTCACTGGCAATCTCTCTTCCCACACCTCTCAAGTGGATGGACCTCAAGGCAAGGACTGGGGGAGCAAAGTCCCTCCCACTCTAAGAGAAGATCAGGTTTGAGACCACCTGGGGAACCTGAACATACATAAGTCTATGGGACCTGATGAGACGCATCCCAGAGTCCTAGGGGAATTGGCTGATGTAGCTGCCAAGCCACGCTCCATGATATTTGAAAAATCATGGCAGTCAGGTGAAGTCCCCAGTGACCAGAAAAAGGGAAACATTGCACCCATTTTTAAAAAGGGTGGAAAGGAGGACCCTGGAAACTACCAACCTGTCAGCCTCACCTCTGTGCCTGGGAAGATCACAGAACAGAGCCTCCTGGAAGCTATGTTAAGGCACATGGAGGACGGGGAGGTGATTCGAGACAGCCAGCATTGATTCACTAAGGGCAAGTCCTGCTTGACCAACCTAGTGGCCTTCTATGATGGAGTGACTACACCAGTGGACAAGGGAAGAGCTACAGATATCATCTATCTGGACTTCTGTAAGGCCTCTGACACGGACCCCCACAATATCCTTCTCTCTAAATTGCAGAGATATGGATCTGATGGACAGAGTATTCAGCTGATAAGAAATTAGCTGGATGGTCACATCCAGAGAGCAGTGGTCAATGGCTCAATGTCTGGATGGAGATCAGTGACAAGTGGTGCCGTCAGGGGTCTGTACTGGAACCAGTACTGTTCAATATCCTCACCAATGACACAGACAGTGGGATTGAGTGCACCCTCAGAAAATTTGCAGATGACACCAAGCTGAGGGGTGCGGTTGACACACTTGAGGGACAGGATGCCATCCAGAGAGACCTGGACAAGCTCGAGAAGTGGGCCAGTGTGAACCTCGTGAGGTTCAACAAGGCCAAATGCAAGGTCCTGCACCTGGGTCTGGGCAATCCTCGGTATCAATACAGGCTGGGGGATGAAGGGATTGAGAGCAGCCCTGCGGAAAAGAACTTGGGGATACTGGTGGATGAAAAGCTGGACATGAGCTGGCAACGTGCAAGTGCAGCCCAGAAAGCCAGCTGTCTCCTGGGCTGCGTCAAAAGAAGCGTAGCCAGCAGGGCGAGGGAGGGGATTCTGCCCCTCAGCTCCGCTCTGGTGAGACCCCACCTGGAGCACTGCATGAAGCTCTGGAGCCCTCAGCACAGGAAAGACATGGACCTCCTGGAGCGGGTCCAGAGGAGGCCACAAAGGTGATCAGAGGGCTGGAACACCTCTCCTATAAGGAAAGGCTGAGAGTTGGGGCTGTGCAGCCTGGAGAAGACAACGCTCCGGGGAGACCTTATTGCAGCTTTTCAGTACTAAAAGGGAGCTTACCAGAAAGATGGAGAGAGACTTTTTAGCAGGGCCTGTAGCAACAGGACAAGGGGTAGTGGTTTTAAACTAAAAGAGGGTAGATTCAGACTAGGTATAAGGAGGAAATTTTTTACGATGAGGGTGGCAAAACACTGGAATAGGTTTCGCAGAGAGGTTGTACATGGAATCATTCAAGGTCAGGTTGGACAGGACTTTGAGGAAGCTGATCTAGTTGAAGATGTCCCTGCTCATTGCAGGGGGGCTGGATTAGATGACCTTTAAAGGTCCCTTCCAACCCAAACCATTCTATGATTCTGTGATACTCTGTCTTAAAAGCATCGCTAGGATCTTGAAACAAATTCAGCTTTGGCCAGCACCAAAGCATACCCCGCAGAACTCTCATAATATTTTACTTTCATGCATCCACTGCTGTTTAATTCAGGACACTTAGCACAATGCAGCTTACCTCTCTTGTACACTTTAGTTTTCTCATACGCTTCAAAACCCTACGAAGGCGGTCTCGCTCAAGCTGCTCATCCAGTTCTCCTCCCTCCTTCACAACTGGCTAAAGCACAGCAGAAAGATGAAAGAAAAACACAGGATGCTCAGCATTTATAGTTCTTCTCATAGGGAATTCACTACTCAACACACTACTGAAGGAAAGCTTCTAAAATAATTAAATCTTTGCAATTTATGATGTTACAGAAGTCTATCTAATACAATGATCACTGTCTATATCCCAGAACAACTGAAATATCTTCAAAAGGAGTAAACTGCCTGGAAACCACTTTGCAGATAACAGGTTTAACATTTAGATAGCTATCTATGAACAAAACCTTGCTAAGAAATGGTCCCAAACTATAGCTGCTGGACAAGGGTATGTATTTCCATAACTACTTTTCTCCCCTTTTACCTGTGGAAAGTACTTACTCATTCTCTTTAACATTTACTGGTCCTACCATTTCCACTTAGTCTAACTAAAGCTAAGCAGACTAACTGCCTGTAATGGTTATTCATCTATGCTAAACTACAGCTCAAGTTCTTCTCTATTCTCTCTCTGATGGTTATTGTATATTATGTCCTACACTACCTTATAATAATATTACACCTAGACTGAATAAAGTTAGAACTGAGTGACAGACCTATTCCTCAGGGCCAGAACATGATCCCTGGCCTATTTCATTTACTAGTACAGCTGTAGGTTCAGAAACCACAGTAGTGGGAACTATGAAAATAACAGTAATGAATTATCTAAACCTTACTCAAACTTCCAAATGACCTTTCCAAAAGTTCTAATTCTTCACAAATACAACAGGAGACATTGCCTTCTTTAAAGTAATAGCAAAGAGGAAAAGCAGATTGTAGCATTAGTATCTTTACAGTAAATAGAGACAAGAACGAAACTGCTGCTTCTGCTTTTTTACCTTTGAACTTGTAAAGAACTGAAATCTAGTCTGCTCCGGATGTAGAAAAAGTCCTACTTTCAGGCAAAGGACTGAAAATTGCAGCCGAATGAGCAATCATTTTTTTGTGACTGAGACTGCCTTTTACATGTAACATATAACCAGCCTAAAGAGAAATTCACCCCCTCTTTCTAAGATGTATCATGCCTACCATCTCTGGTAACATTCTACTGTTTTTTCACATGTCGAATCTTACAGGAAGCATAATAGGCAGACAAGATTTGAACAGCTACAACATTTGAAAAAACACTCCACGTTCTGTTTCCGTGTGCACCAGGGAAGGAACAAGACTGTCTTGCCTGTAGGATTTTTATATGCACAGCAGTTGTGTTACCTGATTGTTATGGTCTGCCATGACATGGTATTTCATCCCTCCTAAAGACTTCAGCTGCTTCCCACAGTGATGACATGTGAACATTTCCTAGAAATAAACAAGCACATGGTGCATGTAACTGTAAATTAACCAAAGCAGTGGGAAATTCTTTAGGGGAAAGGAGCAGGAGAGCAGAACATTTTATGTGGACCTGGTAACTGCCCATTAAGAACAGAAGAGATTTTATGGAGTCTAAAATTGAGGGGAACAATGAATAGTTACACCTTTGTTCAGTAACCCAAACCTCCAGCAAAAGGCTAAGTGAGAAGCACCAAGCCTGTCACAGGTGTACAAAGGACTCTTGCTTAGAGACACAATGATGAGATGAAACTCGTTTTAAATGCAACACAAAACAGCGTGCAGGCATTTCTATCAGTAAGCTGAAGAGGAGTAAAGAAAACGTTGCTCATTTCTTGTGTTCTTACCTGCCTGCAATTTACCATATGTTTCTTCAGTCCTTCTACAGTCTTTCTCACCACAGCCCGGCATGTTGGACAGGTAACTCGGCCTTTGTCCTGAATTTCCAAAGACCATCGCTCTTCCATACTACCTGTCAAAACAAAAGGTTTGGAATAGAATTGCAAACACAGTATCTTTTTTCTTCCTTTGACGTGCACAATGAATCCTAGAAGGAAACAGGCCACATGCTACCAAACTCATTTCCAGCTACACTTCAATAGGTTTAGCTCAGTTGCAGCTTTAAATGTGTCATGTGACAAAGCACACATCACTCCTTTTGGGATATCATTTTATAAAAACTAGTTAATCCTACTATCTGCCTGAAAGGACTGCTCTTCCACTTGGTTCATTAGAGATTTTTCATTCATTCATTTTTATTACACAATTACTTTAGCATGCAGAGTAAACTTTTCTTTCAGCAAAAGGATTTTCACAGTAAAAGTAGTCACAGGTCTGACTGAACAGTTTCAGACAAAGTCCACGGCTCAGTTCTACTAACCAAATCTTTAGAACTCCACTTATGTTAGCCAGCAGTTTTGGCACTGAAAGTGAACAGAGCTGCACCACCAGGCCAAATTACTCAACAGCCAGGGAAAAGTACCCTGTGTGGCATGGTTTCCAGTTCCTGGCCTCTTTTTGAAATGCCAAGCAAAAGCTTGGCATAATCCACAAGGATTATAAATCACTGAAATGGGTTCTGGGAAGAAAGTGGCTTAGCAGCCATCTGCTTGAATTCTTATCATAAAAACATCTAAAGGCTTTCCTCTTTGCCCAGTAAAGACAGGCAGGGGTTGTCCTTCCCCAGGTGGCTGGGGGAAAAGTTTGCGAATCAAACAGCACTTGGCAGAAAACGGGGGTATTTAATGAGTGCTGTGAGCTACACATACCAAGTCATTCCATTTGCCCAGTCAAGGCTAATGTTATTTTAATAGGATAGGCTGCTTAGATCTCTGGCTACCGGGTTACCAGAAGAGGTGATCTGGCAGCAACAGCTACAGAGTTTTGCCTGCAAACATATTCTGCTGAGTAAAAAAGTATAAATATTTTTAGGAGTTTTATAGTGAAACTATTTTAACAGGCTTTTGCTCAGCTCAAAAAGTGATTTCCCTTTCACTGTTCCATTATGCAGTGGTAAAACCATGTGGAACTACATTATTAGGCATATGCAGTCCCTCCAATCATGCTCTGCAGTACTGACACAGTGCCAAAAGGACAGCAGCCAGTTCCTCCTCGTCAACAGTAAAGTGAACAACAAAATGGAAACACCAGAAACACAGCTGTTGCTCAGAATCAAATCCTAGAATCACATTTATCTTTTAGCTGCTTTATAAACAATTCTGAGCAACTGCTTCTTCTTCTTACCTGTGCCATAGGTTTCTGGTTCTTTCTGAACACAGTGGCTTTTCGTTTTGGAGTTTTGTTGTATTCCAGCTTGCTGTTTTTTTCCTGCTATAACACAAACAAGAAAGACCAGAAGACTTAATTCTGCAAGCCTTGTTACAAAAAAGCAGAGATTTTTTGCTAGGAGGCTGCTATTTATTCTGCTATCTCAAAGCTACTCATTCAGAAATGTTCAATGCTTTTTTTTTTTTTTTTTTAAGGAATTTCAAGATTATGTTCCCTGCACCCTTTCAAAATCCGTAGCTATTTATAGCTGCAGACCTTAGTCCCATCCAGATATCTGTAATCTGTATGGTTGTTCATACACAAAGCTCAGGGGATGGGAACTCTTCACACTGAAACATCCTCTGTTCATAGTATGGCTGAGCAACTCTAAGGACTTGTTGACAACCAAATGGACAGTCCCATTCTTGTAATCATTCCTGTTTTCTTTAGACTAAACAACTCTTATTATTTCAGTATTTTCTCATGGGTTATGCTTTTTGCTCTCCTCTCATCCCTGTTCTCTTCAGCTGGTCCACACATTTCCTGAACTGCAGTGCCCACTGCTGGAAACAGCACTCCAAGTGGGACCCTGCATTAGAGCAAAAGAATTATTTCACATGTCTGTA